TTGCCATGGAATCGCTCAGAGGCAAAATCGAGATTGTCTTTTGGTACTCGAATCGTTTCTCTGGCCGTCTTGAGCAAAGTAGTGGAGAGAAACGCCATCGGAACTGGATTTTCTTCAACTGAGTCGGCGACAGAGCAACAATGGTTCCCACAATTTCCCTTTACCTCCAAATCACAAGAAAAGGATCTCTAATCACAAGAGCACTCCTACTATGCTATATAGCATTGGTGCTTTAATGTACAACTCAAAGTTGTACCATAACATTAAATGTATAAGTTTAGGTTGTACCATAAAGCAATTTATACCATTATGTTATGGTACAACTTTACAACTTGAAATTGTACCATTACATAAAAGTACAAGTTCAAGTTGTACCATAAAAGAATTTGTACAAAAAGTATAGGTACAATCTAAAGTTGTACTATAACGTAAATGTACAATTTTAAGTTGTACCATTAAGGCAAAAACCTATAGCACCAATACTATATAGCATTGTAAAATTTCTCCTAATCACAATCCCTTGCAACACATTGTGACTGTATTTAATAAAAATCTTGTTAATCACTTCAATTCCCCTAACCCTTATTCACTCTACATTATGACCATTGAGCGGCTAGTGGAATCAGATGAGTCTTGTGTATGGATTTTTAAACTAAAAATTATTAAAAAAAAATAGTCCTCACAGAATCCAAAGTATCTCATTCTCTATACTGAAATCATAATCATGCATAGTAAGTCACTAAAAATCAGGGCTGTAAAGATGACAAAGAAGGTCAAAACTCAAATGACCAAAATGCATAGACATCGATGGAAGGAACAACTTCTGCCCTGGAAACCTGAAAAACCTGAAAGGCAATAAACAGGAGATGAAAAAATAAACATTTTCTGCCCTGGAAACCTGAAAGGCATGAAAAAATAGTAAAGAATCAAAGGCAGCAGAACACCAATATGTATCTCAAACCAAGGAGGTCGTGCTTTGGCGCATTAAGAATGTTATCTAGAATTAGCAATAAACAGAGATGAACTCTAAAATTCAGAACTAAACCTGGTCACTATCCATAGGGAAAGCAATAGGACACTCTTAAAGATCCATAAGTGGCATCCAACTCCAAAGGAAAAAGTCTATAAATAATCTTGAAGCTCACTGTGTTTTCACAATGGAAAGTATGGGCATCAATCAATTTCAGCTAGCAAATTACAAAGCTATAGTTCTTCGGCATAATCCTGACTGAATCTCTAGTGGAGATATTAAACAGAACAAATGGATAGGCAATGTAATCAGAAGGAAACAATGAGTTGCTAGAAATGACAAAACAAACACAGGAATAGAAAAGGTGACCCTGAAATCACAGATTCCATACTGCAGAAGAAGGCCATGAAATAAGCAAAAGACAAAGAAATCAACCCAAACAGTGCTGCAAATGAGCTAAAAGAACCTATTAGTAAAAAAAGACATTGCAATATACACTGTCTTTTAAGGCTCATCAACCATAAGAAGAGAATGTTTGATTAGCATGGATCAACTATTTCATTTCACTGAACCTTCAGACAATATGCTACTGTGTATTGGAACGGGAATCACACCTCTGCAAACATTTAACCACTTTGCAATTTTGTCAACTAAACACTAATCACCTTAAACCACACTACAATAAAATTCTATCAAAATCACCAAGGACCCATGAATCCTATTAAATTATTATGGCAAAGGTTGCTAAAGCATGATGAAATATGTTGATAGTTGGAACGAATGAACTGTTGCATCATCCCATAAGAAGTAAATGGCAGCAAGAAATTTGGCCATCGAATTATAAATCCTGTAAGTACATGCATAATCACAATTTAAACTGCAATAGCAGCCGTAGATAAATCTACAACCTGCTGGCAGCAAACACATTGCACAATAGACAAGCTCATAATCCTTAAAGATCAATCAACCACAGCAAGTATTATTGGAGTTCCCTACATGTGCTTAAATCTGGACAACAATCTCGCTCATCAATGAGTAAAAGGGGAATTGTAAGTTTGTAACCATTTCACTACCAAGAACTACAGGTCCTAAAAAGTCCCAAAAGATAGAGAGGCATAATACCATCCAGCGACGGATCCAGAATACAGAAGAGTACTGGGCCGAGTTTCATTAGAAAATTGAATAGTAAAAAAACATAATGATTATAGTTTTTTTCCAATGTAAATTGTACACGACGGTATTTTAATTTAGTGATGCATCAATAATGGAGCCTACATCCATACCAATAGTATACACTGTTTCAAATAAAATACTTGAGCAATCGGCAAGAAAGTCATCGCTCATTTTGTTGAGCTAATCAGTTCTCACATATTTCATTGTTGAAAAGGTTCTCTTCGTAGTAGTTGTTGAAACGAGCAGCATTAACACTAGACAAATCAATCGACTAATCAATTGGCATTGTGTGTCAATCCCTGCATCCACCAACCGCCCTAGTAAGTTTTCAAGGGAACAAACCTCATATTTCTTTTAGTCTTTTACGTTTTAAACTTTTAGAATTTTAGGTTTCATTGTTTTTTTTATATGCATAATCTTTGGGGCTAAAATTTAAAGGCTAAATTTAGAGTAGTGATTTGAATATGGTCATCTGAATAATTTTTCTAGTTATACCCAATTTTATTATAAAATCACACTAAGCCGAATGCCTAAAATCGAAAAAATTCATAAGGACTATACTAACTACGGATCCAGAAGAGGGCTGGGCCGGGGCCCGGGGTGGCCACCCCCTGGATCCGCCACTGATACCATCACTGTCGGTGACTTCGAGGAGCAGGTTGTCTGGCACTAATGAACTCCAAGCTGGTTAACAAACTAATAATTTGTGTGTGAGGCATAATACCATCATAAGTTACCCATATTATTAGGATTATACCCATAAAGACTAATAACATTCACAAATTATCTATATTTGTGATCTTAGATACAAAATGACGTTGTTTTCAATCTTGTGTAAGGTTTAGGTGGAAAGCGGCCGGTTTAAAATATGGTAAAACTGAAACGTGATCCAAAAACCGGTCAACATGATATTTTATTCTTTTTGACCGATTAGGACGAATACTATTTGAGGTCAATTAAACAATAAATTTATATCTCTAGTGTGTTCATAACTTCATATTGTAACCCAAATGCTCTAAATATCAATTTAATCTATTTATCCTTAATATTTATACATTCATGAGTCCAGCAACTATACGAAACTATATTCGGTCCGATGCAAATGTCAATTCGGTGCGGTACAATTCGATGCATTATGGTGGCCGAGGCCGACCAAGGACCCTAATATATGTTGGCCAACCACAGGGACGGCGAGCTAAGCCGCAAATGAGATTTTAGATCAGAGACTTGCGTTTTTGCGTTTGTTTTCTGATCGATCTTTTTTTTTCCCCCTCTCTTTTCCTAGTTGACTCTATTTTACCGGAAAATGCATTTGTCCGAGAATGTATACCAAATCCAATTCCGTCGCTGGTTTCCCTTCTCTCCCGCCGGTCCCATTGCCTGATCGGTACGCCCAACTAACCCGACGACATTATTATCATCCCTATCCCTCCACATTATTTCTCCCATCTGCTAATTGCTATCACCTTCCTCCATATTCCAGAACTCACCATGATAGAAATGATAGAATGAAACCGAAAGCTCACTGCCATCACATCATGAAAAAGGAAAAGAGAAGAACAGCTTGCTGCCACACATACCTCGCTCTGTTTCACGTACCGCGATTGTCGTCACTGCTTGCGACTAATTGGCTCCACCGGCTCTCTGAGTCCACATGGCCAAAATTGGACAAAATTACGGGCAAATTATTGTGTCCTGTAAGGCTGTTATCATCAGATCATTGTCCCAATTCCACAGACGAACCGTCCCGAACATGTCCCTCATCGCCGGGCCCGGCCAACCAACTCCGATCACATTGTGCATTGAATTGTCGGTTATCTCCCTCGCAGTCACAGGTAGTCTTAAATCAGTGTGAGGAGAGGATCGTGGCCGGATTGAACTCCGGTTAGGTTATATCCACGTCACGTTCATTTGTGAGTTGTTCACTTTTGATTGTGATGGTTGTCTTATCCATTATTTTCGAGAAGGAACCTATGTTGCTTTAATTTATATATATATTATTAATTCGATTGGAGCTAAGTTTTGTTTATTCGAGAAATAATTCATGCTATCGAGGAAATAATCGGATACAAGAAAGTCATATGGTCGAGAACACTTGGTTAGAAACGAGATTCCAACCCAATCAAAGATGTGCACAATGAAAGGATTTCTCTAGCCACAAAGTACTGGTCAATCCTATTATTACGTGGACCAGCAAAATATACCGCAACTCGTGAGGAAACTACCACGAAGGGCTAAGATCTCTTCATAACAATTCGACCATCGACATTCCGCCGGCTTCTCCTCCCTAACATTGTCCAAGACCATCTTCGCATCATCGGCAAACCCCACAAGAGGATACTATCCGATTCAGCAAACTCCAACAAATCGCGACGAAAAATCAATCACTCGACGAGAAAAATAATCGAAGATGCCGCGTATAATTGTGTGTCTGCAACAGTCATCAACACGCCCGAATGATCCTTCAACCGGCTATTTTTATTGGATTGTGTGAAATGCGTCCGAAACATATTTAAGTATCCAGTAACAATATTTTTAGTGATTAGAAGATGATCAATTACGAATTTAAATTTATCACTTTCACTTGTAATAACTAATAACACATAAATAATAAAGTATTATTTATTATATAAGATAATGCACACATGTTGTGATATTTTCGACAAAGATCATTTCAAATAAAAGCATTAAATCAAAATGCGTTAACAGATGTGCAATGTGCATTAGTGCATAGTACATGCTACATGTACTATATATATGACCATGCCATTTGTCCTCTCGTCCAACCAAGAAAAATCTCAAAACAAGATAACAGGAGACACAAAAGAACTCCGAGCAAAAAACAGGGGAGGGGAAAATGGCGGGAGACGAAGAACAACAACTAGTACACCAAAACAAGCAGATAGTGCTGAAAGAATACGTGAAGGCTGCCCCTACGGAATCCCATTTCGCTGTCACCACCACTCCGGTCAACCTCAAAGCTCCCGAGGGTTCCAATGTCGTCGTCTTCAAGAATCTCTACCTTTCCTGCGACCCCTACTTGCGCGGCCGGATGTCCGCCGTTCACCGTGAAGGCGCCGATAAAACGGACCCTGAGTTCACTCCTTACCGCGTCGGCTCTGTAAGTTTCCCTCCCCCAATTTCCTATTCTGGAGCTGGGTTTAGTTCATCTATGTGTGATTGTGTGATTTATGGGGTGGAATTTTGTTTGCAGCCGATATCAGGGCTTGGGGTGAGCAAAGTGGTGGATTCAGCACACCCAGATTACAAGAAAGGCGATTTAGTCTGGGGAGGAGTTACTTGGGAAGAGTACAGCGTCGTTGAAAACCCTAAGGGAATCTTCAAAATCCCAGATCCAGATGTGCCCCTCTCTTACTACACTGGAATCCTTGGTAATTAGTCCTTTTAGAAATGCCCAAATCGGACTTCATTTCATGATGTTGCAAAATCTTAGGTCTTCCTGGTTTAAAAAAATCCTCTGTTTCTGGGCTGTTTTGGGTATGGTACGGTATAGGTATGCCTGGTGTTACTGCTTATTTCGGGTTCTATGATGTCTGCGCTCCAAAGAAGGGAGAATACGTCTTTGTTTCATCAGCCTCTGGTGCTGTTGGTCAGCTGGTTGGCCAATTTGCCAAGCTGGCCGGTTGCTACGTCGTTGGAGCTGCTGGAAGCAAAGAAAAGGTGAGAGCCCAATTTCGCTCTTCAGAAAGATCCTGCAGCTCTGCTTGTTGTGTTATTGATTCAGGAAGCATTTACATAACGTGTTTGGATAAACCCTCTTTCTGTATATGAATCAGGTCGAATTGCTGAAGAGCAAGTTCGGATTCGACGAGGCTTTCAACTACAAAGAAGAGGATGACTTGGATGCAGCTCTGAAAAGGTATAAAAACAGAACATACTGATACATAGTTACATACCCATATAGGCCACATATCAGCTGGCTTGCCTAACCTCTTGTTCCTGCTACTATTCGCCCCCAAAGGTACTTCCCCGAGGGGATCGATATCTACTTCGAAAACGTTGGGGGCAAAATGCTCGACGCCGTGCTGCTAAACATGAGACTTCGTGGCAGAATCGCTGCCTCTGGGATGATATCGCAGTACAACCTGGAGCAGCAGGAAGGGGTGCACAACCTGATGAACATTGTGTACAAGCGGGTTCGAATCGAAGGTTTCGTGGTGCTCGATTTCTTCCCCAGGTATGCCGAGTTTTTCGGGAAGGTGTTGCCCTGGATCAAGGAAGGGAAGATTGCTTATGTGGAGGACATTGCTAAAGGGCTGGAGAACGCGCCTGCTGCACTGTTGGGGCTCTTCAGTGGCCGTAATGTTGGTAAGCAAGTCGTGGAAGTGGCCCGGGAGTGATAATAGTCAGACCGGCCATAATCTGCACCGTGAAAGCCCAAACTCCATTATAGCACCTCGAAAAAGTAATCCTTAATAAACGATATTACATTACACCCTCTACCATGTTGTTAAGTGTTGGTGTTTGTATTCGTAGAAATTAGCCTGTTACGAGTTGGCTAATTTCAGTTTTTAAGGTTGGGTTTATGGTTAGACAGAACAATAAGGTGGCTCATTTTGCTCATTGAATGGCAAGAGAGTCCTATTTTTTTATTTTTTATTTTTATTTCCTCCGAGTGTGGTATGTTTGATTTCTTTATTGGTCTATCTACTACAAGAGAAGGAGAGCAGGATGTCTGAGTTTGGATCATGGTTGTTATTGATTTTGTGAGCAATGGATCTATCATTTCTTTATAATCTGAGATATTATTAATAAAAATAATATTAGTATTGGTGTGACCTCGATCGTAAATATATTCTAATTAGTAAGAAAATTTTAATTCAGATTTTTGTGTAACAAAATCAATGTCTAACATCAAAACTATGACGACACAACTGAATTGTCTACTATATTAGTAGCATGAGACTTCTACTATGAAGACCTAACTTTTTTACATAAAAAAAATGCTGGTACGTATCTTAAAGAATGCTCGACCCATAAAGTACTCGATATATGAAAATTATAGCTCTCTCCTAGCCACTAAGGGAAAGTTTGCTTGTTGGATTTGGGTCATAGATTTGGTATCTAAATCACAAGACTGAATGTATTTAATCCAATTTTATTGTTTGTTTATGGATGTCAAATTTGTAAGGTTCACGCATTTGATTTATATTTTGGATTCAAATTCGTGGACTCTACACACTTGTAAATCTCATATATTGAGTTAGGGGTCGTTTGCTTGTTGGATTTGGGTCATGAATTTGGTACCTAAATCCCAAGCTTGATGAATTTAACATAAGTCCATTGTTTGTTGAAGGGTGCTAAATCCGTGGGGTCCACGGATTTGGTCTTTATTTTGGAACCAAATCCGTGGACCCCACAGACTTGTAAATCCCACATATTCATTTGGGATTTGCAAATCCTTGATGGTTAGTTATTTATTTAACAAATCCATCACAAATCCATCATCAAATCTATCATGCAAACATTAGACTCTTCAAATCCATAATCCAACATAAATCCCAAGGTTTTTATCGGCCAAAACCCTCATTTTTCAAATCCAACAAGCAAACGACCCCTTAGAATTTGTAAATCATTAACAACGTACAAATTTATCATTCATATATATATATTAAAATATATCATACAAACACTAAACATTTCAAATTCATAGTAAAATAAATTATCATAAATCCCAAAATTTTCTTTGTCTAAGGATGCTCCAGAATCGTTTCGGTTGCTCATTCGAAAACTACGATCTTTTCGCTCTGGAACTGAATCATTTCATTTTATCTAAGGGAACCTTCTAATTAATAGAAAGGAAGCTTAATCAGAATGCCCCAAAATTTTTATTTTTCAATTCTAACGAGCAAATAGTCAATTACCTTGCAATTTACATATTTTGCACGTATAAAAAGCTAATTTATCGTCTTGTATTTGAAAGGGGCCCACAAGGAGGATAGAGCAGCTGCATGGTGTCGTGGTAGGACGCACACCACAACCGTATGTTTTGCATTTACACTTCCTCCCAGCTACCCGGAAAACTCGGGAATAGAAGAAAGCACCGGACAAGTGAGAACAACGACCTTCGACCGGCGAGCGAAAACGGGAGCGAGAGGGAAGGAAATAGTAATGGCGAGTGACAAAGAACTAGTACAGCAAAACAAGCAAATAGTTCTGAAGGAATACGTGGCGGCGGGTTTCCCCAAGGAATCGCATTTCGGCGTCACCACCGCCGCGATCAACCTCAAAGTTCCCGACGGTTCCAATGCGGTGGCGTTCAAGAATCTCTTCCTTTCGTGCGATCCGTACATGCGCAGCCGTTTGTCCCCTCCTGTTCACCGCGATGGCGCCGACGAAACGGATCCGGAGTTCAGCCCTTTCCGCATCGGCGCTGTAAGTTCGCAATTCAATCAATTCCTTACCCTCTGGAGGTTTGATCGGCGGCCTCCAAAATTAGGGTTTCATGCTTTGCAGATTGGTTTCCTTGGTTGAATTTAGGGGCGAATCACTGCATAAATGACCACTAAACTCTAGTGTTAGGTAACCAAAAGTTTGAAATAACTATCATAAACAATGACTTTGTCATTCTTCGTTTGCTTTATACTGAGATTAGCATGTCAGCGGTCACATAAACCACAATTAGTTAACATGGATGATTCATTTTCGCCACCGGAAGCAATTTCGTTACTCGTTCCGATCGGGTTAACCCACAATCGGTTAAACATTTGTCGGCATAGATGGGGTTGATGAAGAACAACTTGTAGTGGGGTTTTGATGCAATTTCGTTTGCTTTATACTGAGATTAGCATGTCAGCGGTCACATAAACCACAATTAGTTAACATGGATGATTCATTTTCGCCACCGGAAGCAATTTCGTTACTCGTTCCGATCGGGTTAACCCACAATCGGTTAAACATTTGTCGGCATAGATGGGGTTGATGAAGAACAACTTGTAGTGGGGTTTTGATGCAATTTTGTTTCTGTGCAGCCAATTTCAGGGCTTGGAGTGAGCAAAGTGGTGGATTCAGGGCACCCAGATTACAAGAAAGGTGACTTGGTTTGGGGAGGAACTGCTTGGGAAGAGTATAGCATCATCGAAAACCCCAAGGGGCTCTTCAAAATCCCTGATCCTAGTGTGCCACTTTCTTACTACACTGGAATTCTTGGTAAGACCCTAGAAGAGGGCTTCATTTCATGATCATCTTGCTTAGGTATTCATCGTTTGGATCCTCTGTTGCCTGTGGTTTTTGGATGGTAGGTATGCCTGGTATGACTGCTTACTTCGGATTCTACGATATTTGTGCTCCCAAGAAGGGAGAGTACGTGTTTGTTTCAGCAGCATCTGGTGCAGTTGGTCAGCTGGTTGGCCAGTTTGCCAAGTTGGCCGGTTGCTATGTTGTTGGGAGTGCTGGAACTAATGAAAAGGTGAGCCAACCATACCTCCATAACCCATATTCCTGCCCATCTTTCGTTTTCTCATTTGATGACATGATAGTATATTTGAGGTTCAGGGGATGGTTCGATACCAGGGTCCTGCATTTTGCTTTTTAGTGTGAGTCGGTTTTGCAAGATGGAGCCTAGTTGGGACTTGGGAAGTGTTTGATTAAGTGACGTATATGGGTGATAATTGGATGATTTTGGTGTTACAGGGAGCCTGTTTAATATATTGACTCGCTGAACTAATGGCGAGCCAGATACATGATTGTTTTGCTCCATATCACTTAGCTTAATTAGCTAGTATTTTACTCGTAACCATTTTCTTATAAGCCTCGTAGTTCAGTGACCACTAGACATTTCATCCACATGGAATAGGGTTAAAGAACCTTATTATGTTCTTATTCAGCTTCTCTCTATTGGTGATAATGTCTGCATGTGAACTAAAGGTTGAACTACTCAAGAACAAATTCGGATTCGACGAGGCATTCAACTACAAAGACGTAGACGACTTGGATGCAGCTCTCAAGCGGTGCTTCCCTGAAGGCATTGACATCTACTTCGAGAATGTGGGCGGCAAAACCCTGGACGCAGTGCTACTAAACATGAGAGTCCACGGCCGAATCTCAGCCTGTGGGATGATATCACAGTACAACCTTGAGCAGCCGGAAGGCGTGCACAACCTGATGACCATTGTGTACAAGCGAGTCCTGATTGAAGGGTTCGTGGTCACGGATTACTTCCCCAGGTACGCCGAGTTCTTGGGGAAGATGTTGCCTTGGATCAAGGAAGGGAAGATCGTCTACGTGGAGGATTTTGCTGAAGGGCTGGAGAATGGCCCTGCTGCACTGTTGGGGCTCTTCAGTGGACGCAATGTCGGGAAGCAGGTTGTGGCTGTGGCTCGTCAGTGATTGGTTATGGCAACGACTTGATTCAATCATTGACTATTTTTTGGAGATAGAGAGGGTGTCCCTTTGCTTACGGCCAGCCAACACTGCCATGCTAGTCCAGTTCTGCACTTCTGTTCTTTTAGTTGCAATGAACTGAGAATATCTTGTTATGGAACATTGTTTATCCTCATGGACCTCCATATCATTGACTCGATGGATTATAATGTTAGATGTTGAACATCTCTGTAGGTCGCTGTTGTTTGGTCATTAGTAAAATAAATGGTGCATCAGCTCAATGTGAAATGACAATTTCACTTGCGCAGGTAGAGGTGACAATTCTCAATCTACCAACCATTAAAAATATCCACATAATTCAATCCATTTAAATTCAATCTATTTTATCCAAATTCAATTGGATTGGTGGATTTATAGATGGATCTATGGATCCAAATGGTAAATTGTGATTTGATACCTGTACTTTTTATATTTTACATTTTGGTACCTAAAAAATTAAAATTTTATGTGAAAAATATCATTGGAAAATTATGTTTTGGTACCTAAATTTTTTTATTATGACATTTTAGTACCTAAACTTTTCACATTTTACATATTGGTTTTTGGTTGAGAATATCATTTGGATTCATGAATAATCCACCAATCCACTTAATCCAATCCATTTGATCCTTGAATCCACCAATTCAATCCACCAATCCATGAATCAATCTATTTGCCAAAGAAAGTAACAATGCTGCTTACGTTAGTCGTTATAGTCCACATATTGTGTAATTGTGATGGTTAGGAAATCTAGATTTATTCAAATTAAAAGTATCCTAACTATATATGATTACTCACTAAACTTATCCAGATTAATTGTAAAAGGGAAAATTTTACCCAAAAAAAATATAATAGGAATATTAAGTTATAAATATTAAACTAATTTAAAACATTTTAATTACTTTCACTTGTTGGGAGACCAAAGTCCAAACACGCAGAGAAAATTACTTTTACCTCCAAAATAATTAAAGAAAAGTATTTACTACTACTACTAATAATAATAGATTTCTTTCCTATTCGTAGTAAGAATTCCTTTATTCAACGGGAAAAGAATTCCTTTACCTGAGCGTAAACCCTAAAAATCCTAGCGAGTCGGCTCTCTTCCTATAAATAAGCAGCTCCAGGAGCGCAGATTCTCACATCTTCATCCATTCAATCGATCAGTAGCTCTCGCTTTCTAATCGCTCGCGGCGCGGAGAAGATACCTCACAGAAGTTAACTAATAGATCCAACTGCCGTAACAATGTCGACTGCGGCGGCGGCGGAGAAGAATTTGATCACCCTGAAGAGCAGCGACGGCGAGTCCTTCGAGGTGGAGGAGGCGGTGGCGATGCAGTCGCAGACGATCAAGCACATGATCGAGGACGGCTGCGCCGGCGACGTCATCCCGATCCCCAACGTCACGGGCGCGATCCTGGCCAAGGTGCTCGAGTTCTGCAAGAAGCACCAGCAGCACGCTCCCGATCGTCAATCCGACGCCGACGAATTGAAGAAGTGGGACGCGAGTTTCGCCAACGTGGGTCCGGACACCCTGTACCACCTGCTTCTGGCCGCGAATTACCTGAACATCAAGGATCTGCTCGATTTGACCTGCCAGACCGTGGCCGACATTATCAAGGGGAAGAAGCCGGAGGAGATAAGGAAGTACTTCAACATCAAGAACGATTTCACCAAGGAGGAGGAAGAAGAGATTCGCAGGGAGAACCAATGGGCGTTCGAGTGAAATTCAGTTTCGTAATTGAATTTTGATGTTATTATTATTAGGGTTTATGTGTATGGATTCAGAGGAATGGGGGCAACGGTCATTTATCAAACTTGCTTGAATAAAATTAGGGTACACTTTATCAATCTTATCGTCGCGATTGTTTCAGGAACTCGATGGTAATATAATCTTACTACTAGACTTACCTAACTATCATATAGAGGTTGGATTTCATTGAGTTGATGGCGCACTACTTCTCTTTGATAAGCCTCATCCGTGTTAAATACTAAGAAATAGACACATGTTCTTGGTAAACCAACTTAAGAAACTGATCATGGCGCACAAGCTTGTAAGTCGAAGCAGGTGAGCTTCGTGCTGAAATTCCACCTAACTAACAACATCGTCATACTCCAAGAAGTTGCCCATTCTCTATCACTTAAAAATGGAGAGATAGACCAAAGATAAGATAGCTTTAACGGTAAGGTGTCGCGAAAATGAAGATTTGGGAGTTGCAGTTCAAATCAGATCCGTTGGTGTTTTCAGAGGTATGAGATTATTGGGGGCGAAATTCTATTGACGTCGAATTGATTGTAGATGACCCCTAAATTTTGATTGCGAATTTCTGTCACAAAGTGACACGTGAGACCGAAGTTCTGGATAATAATAAAAAAACTAGAGTGATAGGCTATGTGATCCCAATTGATTTTGCCAAGGCATACTACGGAATAAGCTGAAAATTCTTAGAAGACACCTTCATCAAAGCTGAACTACTCCCTACAGATTTCGTTGCCTTAATTTTGGCATGTGTCACTACCTTCGAATTCCGGGTGTCATGGAAGTTAGACATGGAGATCTTCAAATCAATCAGAAATGACATGATCGTATGCTATCAGCCCCGCCTGCACCGATTCTTTGGTCCGGGGAATTTGGTTTTATCTAAAATCGAACCGTATAATCCGGATCGGGATCGGATAACAAACAATTTAATCTAAATTTTGGGTTTAGATTTGAGGTAAAAAACCGTTTGGGACCTGATCAAAAACATGATAAAGAGGCCCCACACCCAAAATTTAACCATCTCTTCACTCTTTGAGTCCTCAGTAGAGGTGGCAATTCTCAATCCAATCCACCAACCTATTAAAAATATTCACCTAATCCAAATCCAATTGGATCAGAGGATTCATGGATTGATCCATGGATCCAAATGACAAATTACGTTTTGGTACCTATATTTTTTATATTTTACATTTTGGAACCCAAAATTTAATTTTATATACGAAAAATATCATTGGAGAATTATGTTTTGGTACCTAAAATTTTTATTATGACATTTTAGAACCTAAACTTTTCACATTTTACATATTGGTCCTTGTTTGAGGATGTCATTTGGATTCATGGATAATCCACTTGATCCAATCCCTGAATCCACCAATCCATTTGATCCATGGATCCACCAATTCATGGATCAATCCATTTGCCACCTCTAGTCCTCAGGCCACTCAAATCCCCACTAGTTCAATCTAAAATCAAGACCGAATTGAGACCGGACCGGGTCATGACCGTACCGGATAAAGACCGGACTGTATCCAATCCAATTTTTGGTCCTTATATTCGCAAAAAGACCGGACTGGGACCGGATCAATTCGGGCCAATTTAACCGGACCGGACCATATAGTCACCCCTACTGCAGGACTCTAGTTCAAGTTCAGGAGGCTATTGTAATTTTCTAGTTTTAGGTCACTCTCGATCCTAGTTTCACCAATGAACCTCGGGAAATGTCGTGGAGTTTTGATTCGCACCAAGGATACATGCAAGTTCACCATTGAGAAAATGGAGTGAAAGCAATCGAGACAGGAAGCTAAGAAACTTACTTGTCCTAATTACCGAGGATGATTTATGAGTGTGTGTCTTGAAAGGGAAGTATTTCAAACAAGAGGAAGAGGGTGGAGTGATTGTAAAAAAAAAAAAATTTGGTGAAAAGAGTGATTGTAAAAATTAAGAGGATGGAAAGGAATTACGATAGGTTGACAAATCATAAAGATCATTCGTGAAATCAGGAGTGGCAAAATATTGGTCTTGTAAACAGACTCGTAGCTATATAACATGACAATTTTGATCGACAACAAAACTAAAAAAAGAAGATTACATTTGGAAAAAAAATAGACCACCTATCCTTTTGATACTTTTACTCATATTAGTACTTTTACTCATATTAGTTGTGAGGAATTTTACAATGCTATATAGTATTGGTGCTATATGTTTTTGCTTTTATGGTACAACTTAAAGTTGTACTTTTAACGTTATGGTACAACTTCTGATTGTACCTGTTTGAGCCTAACTGGGTGTAGGAGGGAGACTCGGGAAAATGGGTCAAGGAGAGTAAGCAGAAAGGGATTAATCGATACTGGGAGAACGGAGGAGATTACAGGAAGGATTAAGGGAGAAGTATTCTAGAGAGAGAAGTCGATGATTTTAGAGATAGAGTCGAAAAATTCGATCCCCCTCACCCACCGGAGTAAATGCCATATTTATAGGCTACATGGTGGTGGGTGAGTGGTTGAGTTACAAGTGGACACAATGACATGACCGCTGACATGACAAAGATTTAGTCCATGCTTTTAGGACACTGATGTGACTACTTAGGGCACTGATGTGACTACTCCTGACACAAGCAGGGCTATACCTAGGACTATACGCGGTGACGCGGCGCCGCTTCTGCGGCTTCTCGATAAGGGCCCACGCCTGGGTGATGCGTCGTCGTTTAGTATTCGCGCGCGCCTCTCCGGGGGCGATCTCTATCAGCGCGCTTGGTTACGGCACGACTCGCGCTCTTGACTTTGGCGCGCTTCACACCGGTGTACTTGCGCGCTCCTCTCTGGCGTGATTATCTTTGGTGTTTCTTCAGTGGGGAAGGATCCGAGTCGCATGCCCAACAGTACCTATACTATTTGTACAAATTCTTTTATGGTACAACTTGAACTTGTACCTTTATGTAATGGTACAACTTTAAGTTGTAAAGTTGTACCATAACATAAGGGTACAAATTCCTTTATGGTACAATCTGAACTTATACATTTAACGTTATGGTACAACTTTAAGTTGTACATTAAAGCACCAATGCTTTATAGCATAGTAGAAGTGCTCGTTAGTTGTATGTACAAATCGGGAAAGCTTAAGGAAGGGAAAGAATAAGGCGAGGAAAAACAGTTTTAAATTTCAATTGTAAGCTTTACTCACTTGCTCTAACACAGACAGCATTCTAGCAGTAAATAACTGGTACAAATTCTTTTATGGTACAACTTAAATTTGTACATTGATGTGATGGTACAACTTCAAGTTGTAAAGTTGTACCATAACATAATGATACAAATTCCTTTATGGTACAACTTAAACTTATACATTTAATGTTATAGTACAACTTCAAGTTGTACATTAAAGCACCAATACTATATAGCATAGTAGTAGTGCTCAAAATAATAATGTAATACGAAAAATAAGTTATTTATAACATTGGAGACATTTACAAAACATTTAATTACTATGACGGGATAACGAATTGAACTAATCCATAGGAGGAGGAGAAGAAGAAAAAAGCTTTTTTCCTCTCTCCAAAATAATTAAACAAAAAAGTATTTGTCCATAAATGAAAAACTCACATTTCTCCTATTCGTTAAAGAATTCCTTTTCCTGTGCGTAAAAAAGCCCAGCGCTTCTCTGAAAGTCGTTCATCCCTTTTCCGTTACGGACTGTGCGAAAATTGAGCCAATTCGGTTCTCTTCCTATAAATAAGCAGCTCCAGGCGTACAGATTCTCACACATCTTCATCACTCAATCAATCAGCAGCTCTCGCTCTCTAATTAAGAGATCCAATTACCCGTAACAACAATGTCGACAGCGGAGAAGAAGCTGATCACCCTGAAGAGCAGCGACGGTGCGACGTTTCAGGTGGAGGAGGCGGTGGCGATGCAGTCGCAGACAATCAAGCACATGATCGAGGACGACTGCGCCGGCGACGGCATCCCGATCCCCAACGTCACCGGCGTGATCCTGGCCAAGGTGCTCGAGTTCTGCAGGAAGCACGCTCCCGGTCATGAATCCGACGCCGACGAATTGAAGAAGTGGGACGCGGAATTCGCCAAGGTGGGCCAGGACACGCTCTACGACCTGCTCATGGCGGCGAATTACCTGAACATCAAGGATCTGCTGGATTTGATCTGCCAGACCGTCGCCGACATCATCAAGGGGAAGAAGCCGGAGGAGATAAGGAGCTACTTCAAAATCAAGAACGATTTCAGCAAGGAGGAAGAAGAGGAGATTCGCAGGGAGAATCAATGGGCGTTTGAGTGAAATTCATCAGCCGGAAGAGCCGTACTAGTTTTTTTTTTTTTTTTTATCGAATGTCATGTTCAATTTTGATGGTTGGTAATGAATTGTTATGGATTCAGATGTGAGAGATTGATTTGTGACTTGTCTGACCAACATTTTTTTGTTTGTTCTAATGTGAATTATATTATAAGAAGGGGGATTAGTATTTTAGAGCTGCAACAATTAATCCAAATTGAAAGGGACATTGCATAAGATTGGTCACCATAAACAAAAATCATCTCTATAGCAACTGCAGAGTTCTTCATATCCCGGTATAGTTTAGGATAGACGTAACTGCAGAGTGTTCAGGAAAGTACGAGAATGTTGTTTTGGAGGGAAGATTTGTCGCAACTTAATGCGAAAGAATGGCACAAGATCTATAATCATCATTCTCACAACAGCTCGATATTCGGACCCAATTAGTTTATGTTAGACCTAGCAACTGCATAGTGTTAAGGAAAGTGGGTTGTCTTAGCTTGTTGGAAAGATTGGTACCAATGGGGCGCTACTGTATCTTACAAGTTACAACCCTCTGAAGCCAATTTTATAGGCTCTGCCGTTGTTAGTGGACCAAGCGGGTCAGGCCATGCATTATAGAATAATGGCACCCGTCTCATAATCGTTATTCTAAGGAAATGATTCATGTAAAAATGATGGTAATCGTCACCTATAGCTAAGCGAACAATACAACGTGAGTACTGTGGCGATTTTATGCATGGATCACGGATGTTATGAGGTCAAGCCCCATGAGCAGAGAATCCAACTGAGAATGCTAGGAATTGAAGTTTGTGGACGTCAGCTTCACAAGCAGCTGGGCAGCGGGATTGAAAGTGATAATGGTGTCTTCATTCTTGGCTTATTGATTGGCATCTGAGACTGCTGAATCAGACATAGTGAGAGATGAGAAAGGAGATCACGGAAACAGAGAGCGATGCTAAATGGCTTGGAGCTTCAGCCGAGGAATAGAAAGCGTAGAGTATATTGGATCTAGCTGAACGTTGCTAGCTCTGATACCATGATAAAGTTTTAGAAAGACTATTATTGGATCTACATGTACAGGTGACTGAATAAGCTTCCCACGTTCCTTAGAGATAGGAACAGAACAGAGGTGGAAAGACTTAGTGGAGAAGAGAAAATAATAAAAAAATAAAGTGATAACATAATTATGGAACAATAATTCCGTTAATTAATGATTATGTTTAATATCCTCCATCTCGTTTCTGAAACCTTTTACTGCCGCCCACCGAGAGACAAAGGAATTCGCCCGACGTCCAAAATGAGCTGGAGCTAAAACTGGGATGGGCCAGGCATAGAAGAGAACCACTCTCTGAAACGAAAGGAGCGAGGATAGGAGTGAAGGAAACATGGGAGGTGAAGTGGCGTGATATTGCAGATGTTAGGAGTGAATCGGAGGTCGCTTTTCCACTAATCAAGGGGAGTACAAATCATGAGCGGTGGTGTGTCGAGTAGGAGTGGAGTGGCCTGGTGAATGGTAAAGTAGCGTCTTGGGGAAAGAAAAGGCAGATCAGTATGGTGAAAGGACTAAATGACAAAAATGCAGAACAGAGAGTACGGACGCTGATTCGACCAAGGTGATGCAGCGACGAGACCTTGATTTGATCGTGGTGGGGGAGCTGACTGGGAGAAGATGCAGACTCCTCTACAAATTGGGTGTAACACTCCCACATTTAGATTTAGATTCGACCGAACAGTTAGGTCGAGCGTGTTTTAAAATTTTACAATGGACCAAAATTAGTATTTTCTCAAGATTATTAGTATTTTTGTTGCTGTACAGTATGTATTTTCATAGTATGATAATTTTATAAATAGGATAATATCAATAGGATGTATGGATATTATTTTGAGAATTTTTTAAGCTGTTTTTAAATTATAAAAATAGTTATAAATACGGGTTTAGTTAAATAAAATGGTATTCAAGCAATTTTTCCGGGTTTGATATTATTAGTCAAGGCAAGATACGCGTAAATTTTCCCAGGAATTACTTGAAGATTTTTTGATTTTTTTTTGTTTATTTATCAATTAAAGATTAAATAAAAAGAATCGACATAGTTAAGAACATAATTAAAATGAAGAGAGAAACAAAGAAGATAACTACGGTGTAAACAAATAATTAAAATCATTTTGACTCCAAATTTGCATACATTTGCCATGTGGTTAGGCAAATGTATGCAAGCTTTCAGTAAATCTAATATGTATCAGAGCATAACTAAGTTCGACGCTCCTTCTCTCGCTTCCAGTCTTTCATTCTTTCCTTCTTAAGAGGTATAAGAAAAGGTGTTTTTAGCTAGGCCCTCGACTACTCATGGCTAATGTCATCTGCTAACCAACACTAGAGAATGTATGTATGGTTAAATTTAAGATTAAATCTTAGTGAATTATGGAGGTGCTCACTTACTGAGACAATTCTTATTGAGACGATCGATTCTCTCAAGACCACACTCTGTTTGATAGACTAATGGGGTTTGCCACAAATCGGTGGTGCAGGATGTTATTCATTTAAACATCATTGGATCAACCTATAAATTCCTTGTTGTTTTGCATTTTGAATGATAACGCTCTCACTCGTCTAAACCTTCAAACAATATGTCTCACAACCATTGTGTTTGTGGTTTTTCAGTTCAAAAGCTTCATTTGTTGGATGGATGTGAATTGCATAGTTGCAAGAGAGGATAACTCAATCTCTTCCTCCACTTAGCTTATTTGCAGTACCTGTTGTTGATAGGATGTTTCTTCAATTACAAGGATTGTTGCTTCAGTGTATCTGGAGTACGCTTACTTGAGCTCTGGATCTTTGATTTGAGTTGCTCGAAATTGAAGGTCAAGGAACCTAAACTCACAAATATAACGATGTTGAGGATCTTGAGCCTCCTCAATCCTACGATTTCAAACTTACTTCCCTATTTTAGGTTAGGATTATAATGTGCATAATTAGCTTCAATGGGACAACTATGGATGAGGTGACCTGATGGTACTATCACACTACCGGAAAATAAGCCTTTCGCAACACCATGTATGCAACACTAATTTGTTACTTGAACTATATAATAAGAACACTTTCTTCTAGTGTTACTTAAAATTGTCTATGGCAACCACATGGTTGCAACACTAACTAAAATTGTTCCTTAATATAGACAATATCTCTTTTAGTCTTACTTAAAATACACTTTATAGAATGTAAATAAGTTATCAATTAATTTGTGCTTTATTTGGTTTTATCATATACTCAATGCTTATATGGCAAACAATATCATGTTGTCTTCACGCTTATAAAAAATATATATATATCATGTTGTTTAGTTTAGACAACTTTTTAGAACATTGGCAAAGGTTAAGTGTTGTGTAATTTAGTCCAACATTTTACAAATGTCCAATAAGGCGATCCCATTTTTTCAAATTAAAAACATTAAATGTGATCATAATTAACACGTTTAGGGGTGGACAATAATCCGGTTCAAAGAGTACCAATTTGATATTTGGATCAAATTGGATCGAATCGAATTTATTTCAATTCAGTATTGGTCCTATGAATTATCTTAAATATGAAGATAAAATGGTCCGAAAATAAATTTGGATCGAACCAAATGAACCAACTATGCTTTTGATCTGGTTCTAAACCGAATCGATTGATGTCCACCCCTAATTACATTATTGAAACTCAAATTACTCAATTGATGGGGTTGATTCGGCTCGATTTATGTAAACCGAGATTTGGGAAAAATTTTAGGGATTTTAAAATGATGTTTGCAAACAGGAAATTGAAGAAGAAGAGTGCCAAGGAAGAAGACGAATGGAAGAGAACCAAAAGGATTCTCTCATTTCTTGCCTTGCGAACTAAACAAATTGGGATTAAGCAGACTGAGCCCAAAAAGAGAAAACAAAAAGAATACAAAGTGGGCTTAACTAGATTCAAGCCCAACAGAACGAAAGCGAAGGAGAAAACTTGCAGGCTCTTCTTCCTCAGAGCAGAGTCTTCAGAAGCAGAGTACTGAAGTTAGAACTTAGAACAGAGCATAAGAAAGCAAGAACCCAGAAAAACGATAAGAGCAAGAAAGATAAATGGACACTGGAGATTTAACGTGGTTCCCCAATCTACAGGTCAGTCCACGTCCCGGGGATAGCAGAGCTAATCCGGGAAGCTCTTTTTTATTGAGTTTTCTTCCTATCAAGCTGAAAACAAAACGAATAAACAAGACTCGATCTAACACACACTGACAAAAAAGGAAAACCCCAGATCCCTAAACCAGACCCGTTTCGACCTCAACCAATCGGAACCTGTACCCCCGATTGATAAGTCCTTTTGTAACCCCAAAGCCCTCAGCCACTTTGAGTACAAAAGTTACAATTAGATGAACAGCAAGAGGAATGAATACATATAGCCTGAAAACAAAGCCGTTGCTGTCATTCTGCACAAGGAAGGAACTACAATTCAGCCGCTGTAATCAAGCCTTCTTGTGGGACTTTCCTTTCCAAGCTTGTTGGAAATGGAATCTTCAAAATCTGGCATCCTTAATTTTGGAATCAGCAATAATCTTTGACAAGGAATTCGCTATTCTGATTTTCCTTTTCATAATCTTCCAACAATTTATATATCAACCCGGCGGTTTATATGAGCAATATGGTTACTTGGTATAGCTAGATAATAACTTGGTGTATTTTAATCTTGCATTCAAACTAATTTTTTTTAATATATTTGTATGTTCCGAACTTTTCACATATTAAACATCTTGGTCAATATTTTTTTATTTATAACTTCGTGGACTCAACAATCCATCAAAGTTACGAAGTTGGTCAAACCCTAGATTAGACCGTTATCTTGGACGATCAAACGCATTGATTAACGGTCAACGCGCCATATCATTACCAAGTCTACACAATCTAATATCCAAAACTTAATTTTTTTTTTGTTTTTTCCACCTATTACCATTTATCTTTTTAATTTGGGTAAATACAATTTAATATCCAAAACTTTCATTTTAAACAATATAATAGCCAAACCTTTTCGAAAACAATCTAATATCCAAATCATCAACTTTCCATTCGTTTGACCGTTAGTTGACACTTCAAAAAAGTTCAAAGTACGACGCTTCATCTATATCCATCGATATCTCTCTGAAAACCACCAACATATCGTGGTTCCAAACTCGAGAAGTCCATGACTCCACCATGATGGTATAGATATCTAAATATTCAGTCATCTGCAATGCCAAAACAAGAAGAAAAAAAAGTTGTATTGTGACAATTTCCCCTAAACAAAGCTTTTTGAAGTGTCAACCAACGGTCAAATGGACGGAAAGTTGACAATTTGGATATTAGATTGTTTTCGAAAAAGTTTGGCTATTATATTGTTTAAAATGAAAGGTTTGGATATTAAATTGTATTTACCCTTTTTATTTTGAACAAAAGAAGAAATGGAAAGGAAAAGAAATTTAAAATAGGTGGAAAACATCAAATTTTTTAAGTGGTCTGTGCTGATTTGGCAATGACATGGTGCGTTGACCGTTAGTCACGCGTTTGACTATCCAAGATAACTATCAAATTTCTGATTTGGCCATTTTGATAACTTGGATGAATAGTTGAAGCCACGAAATTATGTGAAAGACGTAGCTGAAGGTCTAGAGAATGGGCATGATGCCCTTTTGGGACTCTTTAGTGGATACAACGTTGGTGAGCAAGTTGTGGCTATGGCTCGTGAGTAAACAACATTGAAAACCAAATTGTGACAGTGACGAGTGAGATTTTCGTAATGGTGAATATCGGTGCAATCAATACAGTCAAAGGCGTAATTAGCGTGATTCTGTGTATAAACATTTTTATAATTTAGAAATGTAAGTTTTTATGCTTTAAAGTCAATTTTGCATTATTGCACAAAATGCAATCAAAAGCGCAATAAAAGCATTTTGGTGACCTAAAAACAAAGTCTTAAACATAAAGTGTGATTTTGACTACAACTATCGTTCTAATAAGTGTTTTAACATAATAAACAATTTAGCTCATATATAGCTCTTATTTACCATTCTCATATACAAGAGATCTCCTAGTAAACACTTCAATGATAAACCGAAAATCTCGAATTTGTACCTGCGAATCCATAAACCACCGCTAAAGTAGAACCACGACCCTGAGAACCCTTTGCAACGGTCATTGATAAGACAACATGAACATGCTAAGAGTTCCAACAGATTGGTAGGCCAAATGTCTAAAGTCTAAACCCAGTAATTTCATATTTTAAGCTGCCTAGCCATGACATTTCTGGCCAATTTTACTGCAAATGCATTACAGAAGTTATGATCTAGACCTACATTCAGGAATCAGGACACCAGTACTTGACTGATTTCCCGAGAATCCAAAGTACATACAACCACACGTTTGCTCAAAGCTTCCAACAAACAGCAACAACCCAACAAAGTAAATATGTGCATAAATACGTCTCGTTACATCCCCTGCAAATGAACATCCAAGCTAGTTACTCTATTGATATTGATAATGAAAAGACGTTAACCTAGGTATCAACTGCTATTCCAAAATTACTTCTGTTCTTACTAGAGTATATAGGATGCGTGGGAAATTTGAGTTCAACTCACGATTTAGAATATTCAAACTGCTAATTTTGGATCCACAGACCCTGAAGCATTGCCATCACCAGTCAGGAGGTGGTCAGGATCCTGAGTCAAAGCAAACGTCGTTAGCAAATAGTTCATAAACAATTACAGACTACAAGTTGGTAAGCTGGATAAGTATAGATAGAGGATGTAAGTTGTTGATCAGGAAAATGTACCTCCATTCCCCACTTGATATAGTCAGGAGATTCACAAGCCTTATATTCATCAATCAAACTACTGATTATTTCCCTCGATTCATCAAACTCGGAAAGGTCATTGTCCTGATCACATTCATGGTACAAGTAATTATAAAGAAATAAACTAGCTCAAGAATTTTGAATTTTTCTTACAACAATTTTTGCCCAAACCAAATTGAGCAGACTTTGGAGGTATTCTGAAGAAAAATGTGCAAAGAACCCAAAATTTCACAATTATTATAGGAACCATGAGGGAACTCACAGCAAACATTGGAAACTTCCTGTAGTTATCAAGAAAAGCTTGCTTCCCTCTCAACTTGGCATACTGGAACACAACTTTGTCGAAGAGATGTCGGATACTGGTATGGCTTGCTAACATGAGACCACTTACCTAGAAAAGGACCCAAACAAATTAGCACAAACCTGATGTCCACCAAAATTATACACATTTAATTATTAGGTAAATCAGTACTAAACAGAAACTCAAGTCCCACCCTATGTGCAGTCTGGACATATGGAGACTTCCTTGACAAGGCAACCTAGTAGAATGGAAATAAACAAAATCAATGAGGTTAGACGAAATGGTGACACGAGACATCAATTATCTAACAGAAGGCAAAGAGGGGAGAAAGACCTGTATACTTGCCGGGCCCCACTCAATAAAATTAACAAGCTTCCTCTCACGAATCCTCTGCAAACTCTCATGGACCTGATAAGAGACAAAGAAATGCCGGAAATGTAAAATTGATAGCACAATAGAGTGTATACCACAGTGAACAATGATGAGCAGGCCAACAAGAGTCTCAAAGGCTATCTGTTGCAAAATCACCTAAGCCATTCTAAGATGGAAAGCAATCCAAGTATGGAATAGATCAATTGCAAAAAAAAAGAACCTTAAATACATGTAAATGATTATTACCTGCGTAGGGTCTACCTCCCCTTGGATGATGTTTAATATTGAAATGTACTTGGCTTGACTAGCTTCTTTTGTCCTCGCATATGACGAAACCATGATATTTTTTGTCTGGCAAAAGACAGCTAGTGTCAAGAAGTGTGCTCCAATAAAGCTTGCTGACAGTCACTAACCATCATTTACCTGTAGGAGCCTTCTCATGACATCCAATACAGTAGTTTTACGGATAACGTTAGCCTGCCAAAACAAATAGTATTATAAAACAGTCAAACTTCAAATCTGGAAGGGGCAAAAACAATGGATAAGAATCACGTAAAACTATGGATATGATATTAAGCAGAAAAAACAATGCAACTGAACCATGAACCTCTATATAGAAACCAGCTCGACAAGCTTATCATCGCGACCATGGACAACACTCCTTGAATTTAACATAGCAAACTAATAATAATTGACGACCAAGGTAAACTAATAGCAGGGGAAGCTGATATCATTTAATGAGTAAATACCTGTCTTTCCACCGTAAGTGGTGTATATCCTGTCATGAGAAAATGACATCTTGGTGTTGGAATTAGAGAAGCAAGAAGACCAACCAAGTCGTTGTTCATATAACCAGGATACCTCAGTGTCGTTGTGCTGGCAGACATCACAGTAGATACCAAAGAGTTTGTTTGAGCAAAAGTAGGATTAGACAAATGCAGGCGCTCCACTGCAATTCTATTGAGAGCAGTGTTGTCAAGAACGACGACGCAATCCGCATTGAGTGTCAGTCTCTTGAGTGTTAGCAGAGAGTTGTACGGTTGAACAACCACATCACTTGTCTCCATCTGGTTAGGAAATACACTATATGTCTGCACCAATTTTTTGCTATAACGGTCATTCAGAGTCTCCAGCAGATATGAGCCCATACCTTCATAGCAAATTAATACAACATTAAATGAGTACAAGAGCAAGCATTCTAGCCCCTTGAGCATAACTATTAATAAAGTCACTGAAGTGCAACTTTAACGGACGAACACGAGCAGTAATACATTCGAATCTGCTATCCATGACAAACTTGTGGAAAACCCCATACTTCCAAATTGCACAGTTATTTAACGTTGTCAAATCACTTGAAACAGATTGAATAACATTGAGCTAAATTTTTGGGTTCTAAGCATTGTGCAAAGCCCATGATAGTACGCCGACTCAGAACTAAAGGTTTATGCTCTTTAGTATCAGGTCAATCATACCTGAGCCTGTTCCTCCGGCAATTGAATGACAAAGGACAAAACCCTCAAGACTATCGCTCCCATCAGCTTCTCTGTCTATCATGTCCATTATATCTTCTTCGACCCCTTGACCCTGTAAGAATACAGGATGAGATTTTAGAGCACAGAGATGCTGATAGGAATTCAGAAAATCACACTGTTGAAAACCCAGTAACGAACCTGATGATATCCACTGGCCCAGTTATTTCCAGCACCCCCACCATGATCTGCAACAAAGATGTTCTCATGGTTGTAGAGATTCCTATATTCGCCATTCTGAATTCCATTTATCACTCTGGGTTCCAAATCGATCAGCAAAGCTCGTGGTATATAGTGCTGGTCATCAGCTTGATAAAAGAACACGTCTTTCCTGTCACCTCCCTGCATCCCCACAAGTCAGCAAAAGAACTAAACATCCCAAACCATTAATATCATCTTAACCATTCAAAGTACTAGAATCAAACCAGCGATTCATGATTGTGCCTAACAATGCATGCGACTCAGTGATTCAATTCCAAACCTTAAAAACATTGAGGTGGAACCGAATTTCCAACTACAGTTACTCCTTACTCCATAGTCAATTCTAAAGCACCCAAAAAAAAAGAAGTTCGCATCAGCAAAAATATGAATCGCGCACTGAGAAACACAAAAAAATAAGCAACAAACTGGGAAATGCAGGCTAGAACAGCAAGGTCAAAACGACTGGCGGCTACAGTCCGTGAGCAAAATTAAGCTAGCCCATTTTAATTGTGAACTTGGTCAATCGAACAATTGAGTGAACGAAGAAGCGGGCAACCGAAAAGAAGAGACCTGAGTAGCGAAATCCTCGAGAATGCCGTCTTTGCTGATGCCATGCTCGAGGCAAAGCTGCTTCCAGAACTCCATCCCAATCTGGTTCCCGCATTGTCCCACTTGCAGAGTGATGATCTCTCTCGGCATGTTTAAGTGGGTGTCCTTTTCAATGGAGGAAGGATGGGGGGGGGGGGGGGGGGGGGGGGGGGGGGGGGGGGGAAGGAAACTAGGGTTTTTCGGGAGAGAGCAAGCAAAAAGCTTTGTATCTGGTTGCAAAGAGGGAGTTCTTCAAAAGCAGGGAGGGGAGGGAACGAATGAGAGAGAAGGAAGAAAAAATTAAAAATGGCGATTTGATCAAGCGAAGAAAATTATGTTCTTGGAATATTAATTTCCGGGATTGTAAATTAATTAGAAGTTGCACCAAAAAAAAAATTAATTAGAAGTGCTTAACTGAATACTAATAACAAAGCCCAGCTCGGCCCAATCAATTGCAAACCTCGAGACAGGCACAGGCCCAACCTGATGTGCTGCCCTTGCTCCCAAACAATTGAGCCGTACTTCACAAGTTAGGAGGCAATTTGAATTGTTTTATTTTAAGATTATTTTGAATTAAATGTATTATAATTCTTTAAAAAGAGTTGATTTCACTTAATAGTTTGTCTTAAAACGAGACAATTGGATCAGATAAAATTGCTAATCCAACCGAACCTTAAGTTAAAAGTAAAACACACCAAGTAAGAATGGAGTATATTTATTTGGATAGGATACACTTGTGTTTGAATGGAGAAATTGATAAATATGGTGATTTGATCAATTAATTCATTTTGTAAATCAAAATTCTCCGATACACGTTAATCTATTTACAATTTATGTTGTCAAATTATCTCAACATAAGACAATTGGATCAAATTCACATTTTAAAATTCTGCATCCACACAACACATTCATCTAATTATTATAAAATTCGACCACTAAATCACCGCATACACCTTATAGTCGAATATAACTTTTAAAATTAGCCATAATAGGTTTACATTTAAAATTAAAAAAAAAAGAGACGCTAAAAAATATCTTTACCTAGCATTTAAATTAAACAAGATTGAGCAATGCTCATGATATCGTACAATAACTAATAATCCAAACTCGATTCATGGTATTTAATCTTATGGAGGGCAAGATTAAGTGACATGCTCTTATTAGCTAAGTAATCTGTTGCTTTATCGCATTTCCTATTGACATGAGAGATATCAACCTCCCATTATTGTTGAACAAGCTTGTGAATTTATTGAATCAAGTTGTGTTATCGACCATTTCTAGTACACGTTCCAAGGTTCGCCATGAAAGCTCTCAAGCATCTGCCCAAATGATCTTTAATTAGGCCACCTGCTTTGACCTTTGAATTTGGCTGTAAAGCCGAGCCATCAGTGTTAGCTCGTGTAGGTTTACAAAATTCCACTGCAATTCACCAGTCACTAGGAATATGATAATGTTCCGATTAACGAATTAAATCGTAATTTAAATCAGAATAAATTAGGCTGATTGTGTCATTTTACTTTCGATTACATTAATCTATCTTTTTAAAACGATAAGAAAATTGATCGACACCAAATTATATTGACCCTAACCCGGTATGCTTGGTCCAACCAAATGTGATCTCGGTCGGTTTTGGGCCGAACCGGATTAGGCCCCCTACCGGCTGCAGCTGCACTGAAAAATGGGCGTAAAGAAAAGGGCAAAACGAGAAATTAGAGCCAAACAAAAACCTTTTGCTCTGCTTCTTCTGCACATATATAGTCAGAAGACTCAGAATACACGCACATCAGCCATTCCTCTGCCCCGTCTCTCTCATCTAACCACCTTCTGCTCCGCCGTCCACCGCCGCGGCTGCTGCTCTCCTTCCCCTCCCCTTAGGGTTTCTCCTTTCCCCCCATATTCCGATCATCTCTTCATAATCAGTTCACGCATTTACGTAGTACATCGATAGATTGCTTCGGTACGGACACGGCGAGTGTGTATATCTTCGTATGAATCTGTAGGCTGTAACAAGGGTTTCGTTTTCCGTTGTCCTTCTTCTTCAATGGCGACGGCACCGGTGAAACCGCTGCATAACTTCCCCGTCTCGCTGAAATGGGGCAAAACGGCCACGCTCGCCGCCGGTGGTAGCAACAGCACCGGTCGTCCTGCTCCGCCGCCGCTACCGAACGAATCGGAGACGGATTCTGATCCCGATGCTTTCCGAAGGCAGCATCGTCCGCCACCTCCGCCGCCTGCTGGTGCTGCCGTGACCACTCATCGGGTCGGATCCCGGTCCGTCAGGCAGCAGCGGTTCTCCTTCAGCTCGTGCTCGAGCATACTCCAGAAGCAGCAGATGACGACGGCGACGATGGTCGAGAAGGAAGCGGCGGCGACGACGGAAGAGCAGCTGCGGAAGGGAGTCGTCGCGGTTCCGGAACGCAACAAGGAAGTGGAAACTGGCGGTGGAGGAGGAGAGGCGGAAGAAGTAGAAGAGGAAGGGAATCATCAGAGGCCATGGAAATTGAGGCCGAGAAGGGGCCTCTATTGCTCCTCCGTCGGTGGCGGCGGAGGTGGTGACCCGATGATGCAGCAATCGAAGGACAAACCGCAGCAACAAACACCGGCGAAATCGATGCGACTGAGAGGATTGGCGGAGGATGTTGGCGGCGGCGGCAGCGGCAGCGGAGGAGGAGGAGTGTCTTTTGAGAAGAAGGAGAAGAGGAAGTTCTGGATTGCTCTGTCGAAGGAAGAGATTGAGGAGGATGTGTTTATCTTGACCGGTTCCAGACCCTCCCGCCGGCCAAGGAAACGCCCCAAGAACGTCCAAAAATCGGTTGATGTAAGGATTCCTTGTTCATTCTCGATTCTGGCTAAAGGGGAGAACCAAAATTCTCATCTCTATCTTTTTATGCAGAACGTCTTTCCTGGTTTGTGGTTGGTGGGAGCCACAGTGGATTCATACAGAATTCCAGAGAGCCCGATTAAGGTCTGTCTATGTTCTTGCATTCAATCTCGTTTCTTTCCACTGCAAAAACCATTTTGGACTGTTGTTCATGAACAAATTCACTCAATACGTCCGACATTGTTGTTGCAGAGGTAGAGATACCTAGAGCTTACAGGTGGTTGTTTTTGGGAGAGAGCTCTTTGGAGGTTAGAGAGGAGTTGCTTGCTATGCTGCTCTCCATGGCGGATTTTGTGTAAAAAGAGGGTGCTAAAGAAAACTAGTCTCTTTGATGCATAGTGACTTATTAGCTATAGTTTGATATGCCATTTTGTGCGGCTCCCTTTGCCATGCCATGCGATGCAGAGCGGAGTGGACAGAGGTTTATAGTCTTTTGCAGTGATAGTATATTACAATGTCGGGCAGAATATACAGGGAAAGGAAAAATGGATGCACAGGTGAAAGTTAATGGCTTTTCTTTTAGTTTAGTTCTTCAGCAAATGGGGAATTGTTGTGTTTTCAGCTTGCTGAATATTTATGTTACTTGCTTGGAGATATTGGCTGATGATGCCTTACCCTGGGTTCTTCTAATGTTTTGGAGGACTTGTTATTCAGTTCAGCTTATCTGACATTTTAGGGAGCAAGTAATACCTCCAGTTGTTGAGCTGTTTAGTAGATTTTGAAGTGTAGTGATGTTTTCTTGCAAGGGGTTTGTAGGATATTGCTCTCTTATTGGCCGTGCTCATTTCGCATTTTCAGTCTGCAATAGTACCCTTCTTCTTGCTTCTCAGTCTGTCTTGCTATCAGTTATAGGGTGTGTAGGAAGAAGAGGTAGTAGGGTTGGACATCATTTGCTAGCTCTCTGAGGTTACATGGTTGGTCTGCATAATTTGATCCGGTAAGGAATTGGTGGATAGCAACAGTATAGTGCTAGGCTTAATCAAGTCTGTGTGGTTTCAGGGCTTTTGCTTAGTTCATTTGCATAACTCTGCTGCATCAAAAACTTGAATTCATGGGAGTGCAGAAGAAGGGGGTTTGCAGTGTGTCCACATTGAACTTTATGTCCAGTTGCAGAAGAAGGGGGTTTGCAGTGTTTCTTCTCTCGTCTTGGCATTGCTGCTTTTGACTAGGGTCTAGGGTTTGATTAAGAAAAATGACATGGGTTCTAGGGTATTTGGGCCTGGTGTTCATATCAACACTTTTTTAATTTTGTGTAGGTTTTTCCCTATCAGCAGCCGAATTATGCCATGGGTTGAAGGTGCCGGTTTAGCAAGTGGGATGGTTCGATCGGTGGCACATATCGGTTTGTGCCGGTTCATGTCGGTCAATATTACAAATAAAATTATAATTACTTATATTTAAACATGATATTTAACGTCAAAACTTAAACATTTATACTTGAATCCAACAAATAACATCAATATTTAAGTTTTATACTCATAAAATAAATAATAAATTTTTTTTTATCAATTAAACTCACTAAAATAAGGCCATTTTACTTAGAGATTCGTATATCGATCATGTCGGTCATACTCGTGATGTCACGTCGGTTTTATGACCGGTTTCAACCGGTGGCACGCCAACCAGCGTGATAACCATGCTTGGGTTGAATCAATTAATGATGGATTTCAATTTTCAATTCAGGCTCCACTCAAACCTATGATTAAAATTGAGTCGGGCCGATTTTTTTTATTTTTTTGTCTTAGATATTCACAAAAGAAAACAAATAGATACGAATCAGAAGCTTTTTTAGGCAATTGTTACAAGACAAAATTAAAGAGGGCGATGGTCAACCATAGGTCAAGCCATCGATAAGAGAACATTTTTTGTCACGCTGGTCAAATTTCGTGTAATACAGTTATATGGTCTATAGTTGTCTTTATTATTTAACTCCATTTAACTGGGCCAATATCCAAGCCTACTAGAGACATGTTAGAAATCTGAACCCAACAACCCATCAAAAAGACCCAACAACTTGGAAGGACTTACGAGAGCCGACATGAAGGCCTTAACCATTCCGTCGACTGCAAAAACGGAACCGCGCATCAACGAGGCTTTAGTATATCGAGGCCCAAATAGCCCACAACCACTCTTAACCCCGTTTTATATGTAACAAGAATAAAGGAAACAGGCCCGTTTATCCCCATGAAAGAACCGAGGCTTCATTGGGCCGTTTTGCGGTCTCTTTATTTGGGCCCATTTAAACCTGTCTAGACTGGACAATCCGCAGCCGGATTACGCATACCACAGCTCGAAAGCCCGACCCACTATTATTTTACACGGCATAATCTACCACGCTCTTCAGTAAAGACCTTTCCCCCCTCCTTTCTGGAGTAAGGCATCTCTTAAAGTGGAACGGGGACAGGTTACGGAGTAATCACCGTGGTTACTAAGGGTAAATTGGGTATGGAAAAATAAATTATATTAATTAATTTTTAATAAATTACATTTAAGGTAGTTACAAAAATCTATTAATTAAAAATCTCTCTTTCTCTCACTTCCGTAATCTCCAGCCAGATTTCCTTTCCATATTTTTCTCAATCTTTCTGCAAAAAAAAAAAAAAACTAAATCAGTACCAATTCATTAGACAAACACTACCACTTTGAAAAATATCAATACCATTGCATAAATAAATCTATACCATTACACGAAAACTACCATTGCAGAATTAAATTTATACCATTACACGAAAACTACCATTCAAGAAATAAAAACACTACCATTTCACAAAACATTAATACCATTCAAGAAATAAAAACACTACCATTTCACAAAACATCAATACCATTGTAGATTTAATCACTACCAATGCGACAAAACCAATACCAATGTAACAAAATCAATACCAATGCGACAAAATCAATACCAATGCGAAAAAAATAATACCAATGCGACAAAAATTATACCAATACGACAATAACACTACCACTACGAAAAAAATGACTACCATTTAAAAAAAATCACTACTGAAAAAAAATGAATACCATTAAAAAAAACATACCATTCCAATGGAATTCCTCCTTCCAATTGCAGAGACCAACTAAGCAAATTAGTTACAGGAAATCTCAGTCCTTGAACGACTTGAGCATGAGGGAGAGAAGGGAGGGTTGCCGAGAGAGGCTGAGCTTGATGTTTGTCATCGGGAAGAGGAACGATGCTCTATGGGAGGCGGTGGCGGAGACTGTTAAGGAGATTTCGGAAGCGGTGATTGAGAAGGACGAGATGAAGAGGTTGGTGCCGGTGACGGCGGCGGTGAGATCAGTGAGGTGGATGCCAGCGGCGGCGAGGACCGGTTCGATCGAGTTGGGTACGGTGGAGGCGGCGAAGGTCGGAGGACACAACGGCACCGCCGAGAAGAATAGATGGTGGGAGGCGGTGGGTTGGGTGGGAGGAGGGTAGAATTAGGGTTTGTGTATATATAGAATAATCCAGTGTGGTCTATTTTTTGTTTCCAAAATTATCCTTGAGCAATCATAATCGTGAGATTAAAAAAATAGGAAAAAGATAAAAATGGATGGTGGATATTGATGTAGCCAAGGTGACTACTAGAAATTTAGTAACCAAGCTAACTCATCCCAAGTGGAACGGAACGTTCATGGGTATATGGTTTTGAATTTTGATATTAAAATCTTGTCAATTATAGAGCATGCCACTTTTCCTCTTCCTTTAATCTGGATTATAATTAAATCAATCAAATCAATTGTTTCAATTGATTCCACTTTCAATCGAACGATTTCCTCGAGTGTGGACTAGACATATATGTCGACATAATAATGTTCTTTATTTAGATTCTATCGAGGATAATATGGGTTTAGGAGATCAAGAGAGTTACGATCTCACTAGTGATAAGAAGGAATAAGATTTGGGAAGGATTAGTGGTTGAAGGAAGAAGCAGCAAACTCGGCAGGGAGGGAGGAGTTCGACCACAGGGAAGAGAGAGATACTTGGGATTAGGGTTTCATTCTTATTCTGCTTAATGACCTGTCTCACTAGTTACATAATATATAACTAATACCGCTAAGTCCCTTTTACTCCCTCAATGATTCCTCAATAGCCAAATATATCCAAATACCCCAATCAGTAAACTGAAAGACATAATAGTTATCTACTAAGTCGAAATGACAAATATGCTAAAATCCTTGTTTCTATCGTGATATGATTAAACTATTTTATGTTAGTTAAAGAATACCCTTTGCTTTCGCTAAGGAGTTTTGTTACCACTAAAAAGCGTTGACTCAATTTGAAGACTTCACTCAACAAATTTATGACAACAAAAATTCACTACAAGATATATACAATAAGAATCTTGAAAGTTCCCTATAACAATTATTTGTGGCCTGGAATAAGATGATGAATTGAATGTCATCTCAAACAATGATGTGCTCTCTCTAATGGGAGACCAAAAAATCAAATTGCTTTCTGGCTAGTCCTCCATTGTCTAGCAAAGATCCAACAGACAACATAATTACTTTTAGGAGAAAAGAAATACTACGATGTGTAATTAAACCACTCGAATTGATGATCATATGCAATATTCCTAGTGATGATGATATAATGCAACTCCTAAAAGACATATAGTTGACAATAAAATAGTGTCGACATAAAGATTTCCTCACAGCTCAATTAGGCGTCTTAATTATTAATTAATAATACCCAAGTTGGGTTACTATGATTTGGAAGCCTTAATTAAATGAACTTCAAAAAAGGCTTTATCAATTGCCAGCTTGAAGTTGTCTCCCAAGATTTAATTTGACCATAATTAATAATAAAATACACACACAATAATACTAAACACAAGTTGCCCATGTTATTGTCCAGAACCAAAATGATGTCTTTTTATTCTTCCAAGGCTATGGGGGAACATACTTACTAGTAAATTAATACCCATAATCATCATAAAGTGAGGGAGTATAATTAATTGTTTAATACTCAATTTGCCTTTTTCTTTTTTGCTCTTAATTATTATGTTTTTATACAACCTAGCAATATCTTGTTATATTCCCCAAAAGAAATCATGATTAGCAATCTCAATAGTTTAGTTGGAGATCATCATGAGGTGTGGGTCTTCCTCTTCTTGTATCTCTTGGATATGGCAATTCCACTTTAATTGAGAAAGCATGGAAAGAATAGTATTATTATTCCAAGTAGAGGGGTGCTCTTGAGGTGTGCTATAATTAAGTTGGCATTATTCTAATGGGTTACTACTTACTAGTATAATTTGGGGTAAATTGCAAGGGTGGTCACTAAAATTATTAAAAACGTTAATGTTTGGTCACTGGAAATATTTAATTTCATTCGTGGTCATTAAGATTAGTTAACAGTCCAAGTTTGGTCACTCTCGGTTAGTCTTCGTCCATCTCCATTAAAAAAGACCGTTATTTGCTGACGTGGCAGACGGAATCGCCTAGTCAACCTAATTTAACCCAAAAATGGTAAAATCCGACCCACCACATCACTAAAACTCGCCACGTCATCTTGCTTAGTCCAACCCAAACCTAAACAGGATCGACCCACCTATCCATGAATCGACACACTCGAACAAAATAAGAGTTTATCCACTTTTCTTTCCAGATCTGAAAACCATCTTCTCTAATCCTTTGATTTTTCGTGGCCTCCCCTCGACAAACCTACTCCTATTGCCGCTTTCACTCCCACTTTTCACGCCCCCATTGAAGAAGAGAAGGTGGTTGTCACTGCTATGTGCTACACTCTGCTTGTTCCTCACTCTCTCTAACGCTCAACGATTTGTACGAGAAGGAAAAAGAAGTAAAGAACACAAAAATCCTATTCCTTCCTTTCATCCTTTGTCACTCTTTTCTTTCTTTGCGCTCTGTATTCTATTGAAGGGCTGATTGATGGGCTCTTTCTTTATGCTCTGATTAATGGTCTCTTTCTTTCTCTAGTGAATCCTCTGCTGTCCACCAATCTCAGATTTCCAATGATCCAATCCCACAAGGAGCTAGAGATCGATAGGATTCAGAGAAGATGTTGGCCACTGTATAGTCAGAGGGATCAAGAGATCGCCACCGAAGAGCGTAGAAGAGAATGATGTCGGGGAGCTTGTAGCCAATGGAGATCTCAACGGTGATTGATGGGACTACGACAGTGGTGGATTTGTTGACGAAGAATCGTCCGGATCTGTCAGTCAGAGAGGGAGGGGTTTGAGGGAGGAGATTGAGACTAGCGACTTTGGCGGTGGCCAATCCTCTTCCTCGTCGGTGTTCCAAATCACGACAAAGTGTTTTTTTATATCAAAGTGAAGCTAGATTTAGGTCAATTTTGCCTAAAATGTTAATAAGAGAGGTCGAGTTGGTGGTGGAATTGAGTTGGGTTAGGTTATGTAGTGGGTCTGACGTGGCGGTCGGGTTATATGATGTGGCGGGTTAAATTGGGTGATTAGATATGTCCGTTAGCCACATCAGTAAAAAACTAACGCCGTTAACGGAGACTAAAGAAAGTTAACGGAGAGTGACCAAACTTGGAAGGTTTAACTAATCTTAGTGATCATGAATGAAATTAAATATTTCTAGTGACCAAACATGAACGTTTTTAGTAATCCCGTGACCAACCATGTAATTTACCCGTATAATTTGTAACCACTTTCATCATTTGAAGGAAGATGTTCCATGATTGGTCATAATATTTTGTGTAGGCATGATTCAGAACTACTTTCGTCATTTGAAGGAAGATGTTCCATGATTGGTCATAATATTTTGTGTAGGCATGATTCAGAACCATGAAATCATCCAAAGTATATTTCCTAAATATATGTAGTTCACTTTATGTCAGTTGTGATAAAGCCATATTCAAATATAATCTAGTAATAGGATAAAATAAAGTTGTCCCCATGGAAGATGAAAATTTATGTTGGAATAAAGTCGTATTCATGGATGATGAAAATTTATATTGGTTAATTAAGAGAATGAGCGAGCACAAATGTAGTAAAGACTCTCGTGAATGGGTAATGTTCATTCTAATTACTATTTATATTTTCTGATTTTTCATTAAAAACTCTACAAATTTCACTCGGTAATCAAATGATTTATCTAGACTGTCAAGTTCGAGGAGACGTTTTGCATGCAATCTTTTAATTTCTTTTAACTAGAATTCCATTCTACATAATTTTTCTCGTTTTGAGACATAGAGTCCTAGCATACTAACCACACCCCAGCCAAACGAGTAATATGAATCCAAAATTTCACTAAATCACTCTTCGTCTCTCATATTCAGTCGTTCGAGTTCGTCACAATAACTTAAGGGGTGTTTGGATGGCAATCTCGAAATAAGTTGCAACGTTGAAATGGTTGAAATTTTAAAATGGTAGAATTAAAGCCTATTTCTTCAATGTCATAAAATTCAATACCAACTTCACCACTCAATTCATTGTTTCATCCAAACCAGCCCTCAATAAAAACACTATAATAAACCAAACAGCATGATTGTCTTACGTGCACTTTGCATATAAAAGCTGTAATTTTTTTCATTGATGGAAATTAGCCCACGTAAAATTAATAATTAATTAAAGGGCAAACAATACAACTCAAACTCATGATCATTTCTTGGTTTTAGAATGATTCGCCTATCCTGTGCCGCACATAAATCCACCAACCAAACATGCCTTTGGCCACCATCCAATTACCATAGTACCCTCCCAAGCAGGCAGGCAGAACATCGGCCCACCACACGTGGGCCGGATTAATTTTAATCCCCATCATCATTTGGTATGATTAAGAAATTAATTATTAAAACTTGCCACTAATTAATTAGAGTTTAGCATTAGGAGGAGGAGGAGCAATCATGCGTGGGAAGGAGAACGTAGCACGTGCAATCCAACTGGCTGGGTTCTCATCTCATAATTGATTAACTAATTAACTGAAACCTCTCTCACAGATATCACAAACCCGATGGTTAATATTTTACTCATACGTTAATTAGAAAAATTAAAACCCTAAAAACGAAAAGCAATCGAACTCAAGGATTCTGAGATTAGCGGTTAATCACATGACGACCAGCTCACACCATCACATGCACAAAGACAGGTAGGCCCCGCTCGCTGGAAACGGGAATCCAAGCTAATCAAAGCTGGCTTTGTTTTTTTCGCTTCTTGAAACATTGTTTGGTTAATTAATAACGTGTTAATGATACTTTTGGTCCCTCTACTTAAGATTACGTCCCAAATCGATCGTTACTTGTGTGATGTCGATTTTTAATTATTTTTTTTTATTGTTGATGATCTACGTCCTTGTTGCCTATTCAGAGATCCATCATTTGTTTCTCCTTTCGATTTTGTTCATTCGTTCCAGGTCAGCTTTATTAATTTCGAAACAACAGGGCCTCTATTCCTGTAAATAACAGACAGACAAGACAATATAAGATTGAAGGCGAGCGGAAACTTGAATTTCGTTGATGTAAGTCGACTAGTGAGATGTGTTTACTAAAAAAAGTTAACCATCTATATTTATTCGGGTGCACTCCAAAGTGTTAAAAATCATAATACGGGAGCATTTTTGCTAAAGTCGTATAATTTAAGGACCATAACCACATAAGTGTCACTAGCCCATCGTCTTATACTTAAAAGTTAAAACACCGATAAACATCGGGACGGGAAAATTATCAAACCAGCACTGTGCACGTGCGGCGACATTCGATGATCAGCGGGCGGGTTGATCGGACGGCGGTGAGTGGTCCGCAGCACGTGTGGGTGAGTCACAATGATGTGGCGGGCAGTTGAGAAGGTGGCGAGGAAGGGGCGTATTTTGTTCAGTTCAGTTTAATTGGGTGGATGGGTG